CGCTTACTCTCGCTCTCGCTCGTTTGTTCTCACTCGCGCGCTTACCGCTCGATCGCTCTCACGCACGCGCTTACTCTCGCTCTCGATCGCTCGCTTCCTTGCTCGCTTGCTCCTTGCTCGCTCCTTGCTCGCTTGCTGTCTTTCCCGCTTGCTCTCACTCGTTACTCTCACTCTCGCTCGCTCGCTCTCACTCGCGCGCTTACTCTCGCTCTCGATCGCTCGCTTCCTCGCTCGCTCGCTCTCACTCGCGCGCTTACTCTCGCTCTCGATCGCTCCCTTCCTCGCTCGCTCGCTCCTTGCTTGCTTGCTCTCTTTCGGCTCGCTCGCTCCTTGCTCGCTTGCTCTCTTTCGGCTCGCTCCTTGCTCGCTTGCTCTCGTTCCTCGATCCCTCGCTCGCTCCTTGCTTCTGCTCGGTTGCTCGGTCGGTCGTTGAATCGCTTAGGAAAAAAAACACTTCAGCTTTTTTTCTTGCTCGCTCAGCCTCGAGGCCGTAGGGTCTCTCGGTCGGTCGATCCACTTAGTCGGCCCAGCCATTGGTCAGTCCGTCCGCCCGTTGGGTCCACCCGTCGGGTCCACCCGTCGGTCGGTCGGTCGGGCCTCACCACTCGTTGGGTCCACCCGTCGGGCGGGCGGGCGGGCCTCACCACTCCATCCGCCCTGCCAAGCCGCTAAAAGCAGGGTGAAACCAGATCACTCGGTCGGTCGGGCCCCCCCTCTGAGAGCAGAAAGAGAAGTGGCTGTCTAATATACGAACTGTAGGTAGTAACAGCATCAGGCTTGTCTAAGCCTAGGAACCAGATCACTCGGTTTCATGGGACCAGGACACTCAATCCCTGATAGGGCCGTTGTGGGCCGGTAGGAGTGTGTCAGTTGGTAGGGACTTTGTGGGAACAGGATACTCGGCCCCTGCTAGGGCCGCTGTGGGCCATTAGGAGAGCGTCAGTAGGACCGGGACGTTAGTCCTCTGGGCCGAGTTAGTCCCTGATTAGTTCTGAGAAGGTCTCTCACTGAGTTATTCTACCATTGGATATGAGAAGTCTCATTGTAGTATTGTAATCTGAGGTCGTGGGGCATGCGTTGCAGCAAGTTGCTTGAAGTTCAGGGTCTGACTCAGTTACTGGGTTGGTCGCTTTGAAAGGCATAGTTAGTTCATTTGTTATACTCTGCATTTGCAAGAGTATCCGCAGGTCTCCTACCTGTAAGCTAAGCTGGCTGATGCTGTGAGATACCCCCGGGTTGAAGTGTGAGGTCCCCGGCCTCTGTTTCATATTGTTAATGAATTGTGGATTGATATTAAAAAAAAA